ACAGCGGGAACAAAACAACAGACAACTTCTCCATGTCCTAAGATGGAGTTCTTGTTATCACTCAGACCGCGCCCACGCCTCACTCACCCTCACCTCCCTCCTCCCCTTTCCTCTCTCACACTCAGACTCGCTCACACTCAGACTCACTCATGCTCAGACTCACACTGACTCAGACTCACTCACACTCAGACTCACTCATACTCAGACTCACTCAGACTCAGACACACTCACGCTCACATTCAATCCCTCACACTCGGACTCGTTCATGCTCAGACTCACTCACACTCAGACTCACTCACACTCAGACTCACTCTTACTCAGACTTACACACACATACTCAGACTCACTCACTCACACTCACTCACACTCAGACTCGCTCACACTCAGACCCTCGCTCGCGCTCAGGACACGAGGATGCCTCAAGCGAGGCGCTGGCTTCAGCACCCCAACGGGCGCCGCCAGGGCACGACACGGGCCCGTTCGCGCCCAGATTGTGGGGATGCCTCAAGCGGTTTGCCTGTTTTGGGGGTCGGCGTCTTGTGCTTTCGGAGCAGATTGCGAGGACGTCTGAGGCGAAGCGCTGGTTTCAGCACCCCAAGGGGGATGTCTCGAGCGGTTTGCTACTCTGGTGGCCAACATACTTTGCTTTCGGAGCAGATTGTGAAGATGTCGCAAGCGAGGCGCTGGCTTCAGCACCCCAAAAGGGAGCCGCCAGAAGGTATATCACGGGCCCGTTCGCGCCCAGATTCTGGGGATGCGTTAGGCGGTTCGCTATGTTGGTGGCCAACATCCTTTGCTTTCGGAGCAAGTTGCGACGATGTCGCAGGCGAGGCGCTGGTTTCAGCACCCCAAGGGAAGCCACCAGGCGATAAATCACGGGCCCGTTCGCGCCCAGATTGTGGGGATGCCTTCAGCGGCTTGCCTGTGTTAGTGGCCAGCGCCTGCTATTTTCGGAGCAGGTTGTGCGGATGTCTCAGGCGAGGCGCTGGCTTCAGCACCCCAATTGAAGCCACCAGGGGGTGAATCACGGACCCATTCGCGCCCAGATTGTGGGGATGCCTTCAGCGGCTTGCCTGTGTTAGTGGCCAGCGCCTGCTGTTTTCGGAGCAGGTTGTGCGGATGTCTCGGGCGAGGCGCTGCTTCCAGCACCCCAAGTGGGAGCCGCCAGGGGGTATATCACGCGCCCGTTCGTGCCCAGGTTGTCGCACCCATCACACTCAGATTCAACCATATTCATTTTCACTCATACCCAGTTGCACTCGCTCGAAGACTCACAGTCGGACTCGCTCGCACCCAGGCTCACTCACACTTACACTCAGTTGCATTCGGATTTACTTTCACTCAGACTCGCCAATGCTCAGACTCTTTCGTACGCACGCTCACTCGCACTCAGACTCACTCATACTCAGGCTTAGACTTCTCGTATTCACACTCGGACTCGCTCACACTCGGATTTACTCACAATCAGACTCACTCACGCTCAGACTCACCAACCATCAAGTTCACCCATACTCAGACTCATTCGTACCAAGACTCATTCATACTCAGACTCAGACTCGTCAAACTCAGACTCAGACCCACTCACACCCAGACTCGCTCACACTCAGACTCACTCACACTCAGCCTCACTCAGAATGAGAGTCCCTCATACTCAGACGCACCCGTACTCATATTATCTCATACCAAGAGACGCCTTCAATCTCAAGCATGCCTGGGCTCACTCACATCCAGACTCACCCACACTCAGATCACTCACGCTCAGACCCACTCAGAGTCTTCTCTATTTTGATTGTGCAATGCTCCCTCGCCCTTGACCTGTGATTCCCTCATCTCTTCTGAAAAATGTCCAGGGGAGGAGGAGGACGTCACTGAAGCAGTCGCTGTCGTCGTCGTCTTTGTCGCGCCCGTCGTCTACGCGGACTCGCTCTCACACCCAGTTGCTGACAGGCAGAGTTTCGCTGCGAGACGTGACAGGAGTATAGTATGCACGTCTTGGGACCTCTGCGACGAGTAACATCGTCATGACCCGAGGTGAGAGGGCATGCTGCTGCGCATGCAACGAATGCCAACGAGAACGGCCGATGATGGGGCTGTGATGTCTCTTCCGGTTCTGAGCCGGCTCTGCCCACTCGTGCCCACCCCCGTCTCGTCTTTGGGGCCCTCGCCCCCCCCCGCCCCCCCTGTGATGGCGTGGGGTGAAAGGCGGGCCGCCCCCCCCCCCCCCCCGGCACTGCTGCGTGCGGTGGCACTTGGCGGCGCGCAGAGGGGGGCAGGGGGAGGGGGGAGGCTTCTCAGAGGGAGGCCGCTTCTTAGACGGCGCGGGCCTTGCATCTACCGGCAAGGCCCGCGCCTTCTGAGAAGCAGGGGCGCTTCTAAGCAGCCTTTCCCCCCCCCCTGTCCTTGGTCGGGCATGTCTCCCTACAGGCGGATTTTGGACGAAAAACCAAAAATACCTGTACGACCACCCTTCAGGTGATAAGGAGGTTGTGGGGGGGGAGGGGGGGAACCAACATCTGATTCAATCGATCTCACTATCGATCTCACTCAACCGGACACCACGGGACACCACGGACACTTGTCGATCTCACTATCGATCTCACTCAACGGGACACCACGGGCCACCACGGGCCACCACCAGACACCACGGGACACCGCGGGACACCTCTCGATCTCACTATCGGTCTCACTATCGATCTCACTATCGATCTCACGCAACGGGACACCACGGGACACCACGGGACACCTCGGGGCACCACATCGATCTCAGTATCGATCTCACTATCGATCTCACTATCGGTCCCACTCAACGAGACACCACGGGACACCACGGGACACCTGTCGATCTCACTATCAATCTCACTATCGATCTCACTTTTTGGGACACTAAGGGACACTACGGGACACCACATCGATCTCAGTATTGATCTCAGCATCGATCTCACGATTGGTCTCACTCAACGGGACACCACGGGACACTAAGGGACACCACCGGACACCTGTCGATCTCACTATCAATCTCACTATCGATCTCACTTTTGGGGACACCACGGGACACCTCGGGGCACCACATCGATCTCAGTATCGATCTCAGCATCGATCTCACGATCGATCTCACTCAACGGGACACCACGGGGCACCACGGGACACCGCGGGACACCGCGGGACACCGCGAGCCACCGCCGGACGGGCGGGCGGGGGGGGAGAATCATTTGTCTCCACTTCGTCTAGCAACGGCGGGTTCATTCCTCTCGCGCGCCCACGCAGCTTCGCCTCGCCCGTACGCACGACACGAACGAAACGAAATGACTTCCCGGTTGGGGGTCTCCGTTCCACTGCGATCTCACCCCCAAACTCCAACCTCCAAAATTTTTAGAAAACTGTTCGAAGATAATAATCAAATCGTCCCCTGACTATTTTTTGCAATTTTCGACTATTATTTGACTTTTCCTACTGTAGAGGGACAGGCCCGACTTCACCCTGTCCCTCCTCTGCGCGTGGCCGAGCCAGGTTTGTGGGCCCCCCGGGTCCCCGAGCCGCCGCCGATCCTCGATCCTGGAGCCTCGGCCGCCCTCGCCGTCCGACGCGGGGAGGAGGAGGAGGAGGAGGAGGAGGAGGAGGAGGAGGAGGAGGAGGAGGAGGAGGAGGAGGAGGAGGGAGGCAGGGATGCAGGGATGCAGGGATGGAGGAGGGAGGGAGGGAGGGAGGGAGGGAGGGAGGAGGGAGGAGAGGAGGAGGAGGAGGAGGAGGAGGAGGAGGAGGAGGAGGAGGAGGAGGAGGCAGGGAGGGAGGGAGGGAGGGGGAGGGAGGGAGGGAGGGAGGGAGGAGGAGGAGGAGGAGGAGGAGGAGGAGGAGGAGGAGGGAGGCGGAGCCCCTTTTTCAGACCTCGGAGAAGGAGGCGCGCCCTGCCCCGTCGCGGCGGCCCACGCCTTCCGCGGGGGTGCCCCTCCTGTCTTGGGCGCGGCCTCACCGACCCCTGGCAAACCGTCCCCTTCCGTGACGTCATCCTCGCCTTTCGAGCTCCCCTCGAAAAAGTAAAAAAACGCCATAACCATAAACTCTTGGCGCTCCGCGCGGATTCCTTGGATCTGCGTCAGGGGCGGCGCTGGAGGCGCCGCCGGGGGGGCCCAACGCTGATCCGAGAAATCCGCGTTCTTCGATCCCGCCCGGCCGCACACCTACGTCTCAGGTCGAGGCGAAGGATCGGCTATACGCAAGAGTGACCCTGGGTAAGAGTGACCTTTGGTGCGCGACTCTTTGGGGGGCCGCGGGGGGACCGAACCTGGGCGCGCAAGCAGCTGCAGCTGCTTCGCTTCCAGCCATCTGGAGACCCACCTGTGCCCGCAACAGAGGCCACTCCGGCGAAAGGTCACCCCTGACTCCGGATCCGCCCTACTTTGAGGAAATTCGTAAGTAGGGCTTGGAATTTCCGCCTTACTTTTCAAGCCCCGCTGATGCCAATCGCCATACTGTTCTGTTGTTGTTTCCGCCCTACTTCTGTGGATGCTCGCCCTATTCTGTGTTGGGTGCGGCAACGTCCGCCCTACCTTTTCGGCTTCTTATGAGCGGATTTCCGACGCAAAGATCGGGAAAGTCGGAAAAAGTCAGAGAGAAAGCCAGAAGGTCGGAAAGTCGACTCAGAGTCAGAGGAAGATAGGTGATTCTCTTCCTTGGAAAAAACCAAAGTCGGGCGGATCTGGAGGAGGAGGAGGAGGAGGAGGAGGAGGAGGAGGAGGAGGAGGAGGAGGAGGGGGAGGAGGAGGAGTGAGGAGGAGGAGGAGGAGGAGGAGGAGGAGGAAGAGGAGGAGGAAGAAGAGGAGGAGAGGAGGAGGAGGAGGAGGAGACAGAGGCGGTGGAAGAGGAGGAGGAGGAGGAGGAGGAGGAGGAGGAGGAGGAGGAGGAGGAGGAGTGGGGAGGAGGACGCCACGGAGGCGGACGGCCTGCCTGCGGGTCCGCTGGGGGCCGCCCCCGGCCTGTCGGGCGGCGCGCGCTCCGCCCCCCCGTCACTGGGCCGTGTCGGCGGTGCTGTCCGTGCCCTGGGCCGGTCCTCGCCGCGGCGAGGGGCACCGTGCTCCTCTTAGAGGCCTCCCACAACCCTCGTCGAAGTTGAACGCAAGCTTTTCCCGCCCCCGTCGCCCCCGTTTACGGCAGGTTCGCGTCGTGTCGACCCCAGCGTTGGTTTCTGACACCGCGGGGATCGTTCAACCTTGAACGATCGGCCGTTCCCGCAACGTCCAATCGTTCAACATCGACCGATTCTGGGTCGCCGGCGGCATTCAACGTTAAACGCCGCGGGCGGGGGTCGCCGCGGGTCGACACGACGCGAACCTACCGTATCAATGTTCATCGACAGGCGCATCGCGGCCGGCGGGGTCCGAAGAAGATCTCGAAGTCGCCAGCGTCGGCGTGAGCATTGAAATTGGGGGTCGGGGGGCGCCGCCAGGTCGCGGCTAAAACTTGCGTTCAATTTCGACGAGGGATGTAGATCCTAGATTTAAGTCGGGCCTGTCCTCCTAGAGGGGGATTCTGGACCAACGAAATACTCGAAAAATACCCCCGAAGGGTCAATAAATACTTTAAACATCGTCCCCATACTGTTTTGGGACTATTTTCGGATTGTCCGCCTGTAGAGGGACGTGCCCGACCTAGATGGGGTCCGAGTAGATGGGATCGAAGGATCGCGCCGCATCGCCAAAGCATCGCCGATACATCGGCGATGCATCGGCGGTGCATCGGCGACGTCTCGATGCATCGGCGACGTCGGCGTGGGGCAACACGGTCTCCGCATCGAGCCGCATCGCCGATGCATCGGCGATTAGGGGGCCACATGCGGACCATACCCCTACCCCCCACGATTTCTGAGGGGGACGGTGGGGTTCACTTCGTTCGGGAGCTCACGAGCGAAGTGAACCCCACCCTCCCCCTCAAAAATCGTGGGGGGTAGGGGTAGGGTTCGCATGTGGCCCCCTAGCGGTGCGGCGCGCTCCTCCGACCCCATCTGCTCGGACCCCATCTAAGAGGCCTGGATTCTTCTGCTCCCCGCGGGCGCGGCGCCACACTCCCGGAGGCAGCCAGGGCGCTTTTCGCCGGACGCTCCCGGAGAAGGGCCCTCGGATGCCCCGTTCACAGTGCTCCCAGGGCGCTGCCGAAGTCCTCGCGGGTCTGCGGAGCCCTCGGGGAGTCTCGGGGCACTTCCGAGGCCCGCGAACTCTGAGGTTCCCAGGGAGGTTGCGGGTGCGTCCTCCGTGGTTTCTCGGAGCGTTTTGGGGCGGTTTTCGGTTGCTCCGGGAGGTCTGAGGGTGCTCTCGGAGGAAGCAGCGCACGGGGGATGAGAGGGAGAGGACGAGGATAATTTTCGGGGAAGGAGATGGAAGGAGAAGAAGAGAAGAAGGGGAGAACGAGAAAGAGGGTGCGGAGGAGTGGGATGAGTATGGAAGGAGGGGCCGACGGAGGAGGGACCAGAAGGGGGAAAGGGAGATACGTCGAGAAGGACGAAGATGGTAGGAAAGGGCGGGAGGAGGTGGATGAGGTTCCTCCTCCTCCTCCTCCTGCCGTCGCTTGGCGGGGCGCACAAGGGGGTGGGGGGAGGGGGGAGGGCTTCTTAGAAGGAGGCTGCTTCTAAGAAGTCCCCCCTCCCCCCACTCCCCTCTGCGCGTGGCTGACTCGCCCCCACGTGGGCCCCAGGCTTGGCCCGAAGAGGCCCTCCAAGGCCACCCCCTTCCTGCAGAGATCTCTCTGCTCCCCCTGGCTGCCCGAACATCACTCCTGGCACACACTTGTGGAACCGATTTCACAAGAAAAACAACAACGACATAGACCAATCTTCAAGGGCAACCACCCCTTGAAAATAACAACGGCAACTCGGCTAAACCGGTAACCCTCCGCCTACGAAATTCTGCCAACGGCCAAAATTCGATTGACTAACCGCACGGTATATTTTGACAACAATTCTAACAATGAGCGAGCCGAAAGGGTTGAAACGACAAAACGTAATTGGAACACAAAACGTTTGTTTTGTCTGAAAGCATAACCATGCATGTGCGACGCAGGGGCAATGCATTCACACATAATTTACAACATTGTGATATGGAAATTAAGAAATCGCGCTTATACCCACTCTGCTGTAGTTTCAACGCGCGCGCGTAGATGGTTTCAAACGCGCTCATTTCTAACGTTCTTCTGCGTGTTCGAATGGTCATCGCACGAATCGGAATTATGATGTATGCCTTCACTCAATGCGACTCTGGCTCGGATCTCAAAATCTGCACTGATTTACGCGGCTTCGCTCATCACAAAGGCCATGGAAACTCGAAATACACTCCGCAACTGCGAAACTTAAATCAAGCAGTTCGCACAAAGCTCCCGAAGACAACGCGGGCCACGAGAGAGGCCATGGGAGGTCCAACTGCCCGCTCAGGGGGCCACGACCCTCAACAGAGGCCCGTCTTGAGGGGTTCGACAGTGACTCCACCGGCATTGTGCAACCGCCGCGCAAAATTTGACAACGCTGGGCTGCCCTGAAGGGTTGGACGGTGCCCGCCAACAGAAATCGACAACGAAATCTTGGATCCGACGGTGACCCCAGTCCCGCAGCGACTGCCAGGACTGATGCCCGAACCAGCCAATCAACCAACCAACACATCAACAAACCACCTAACCAACCAGCCAACAAGTCAACACACAAACCGGCCAACCAATCAACCAGTCCACCAGCCAATCAACCGACCAACCGACCAGCAAGACAACCAACCAGCCAACCAACCAGCTCACCAGCCAACCGACCATCCAACAAACCAACCAGCCAGCCAGCCAGCCAGCCAATCAACCAGCCACGCGGGCATGCAGCCAACCAGCCGGCCCGCCAGCCCCAACCGGCCCGCCAACCTCTCCCGAGGACGCCCCACACGGCGGGCCAGGGAGCCAGAACGCTCTGTAGACCCGGGACTGGGAAAACATGTGCTCCGCCCTGGAAGCCATCCCTGACTCCTGATCCGCCCTACTTTGGGCGATTTCGAAAGTAGGGCGGAAATTTCCGCCCTACTTTTAAGGCCCCTTTGAGCGTCGATTTCCGCCCTTGAGGCTCCTTTGGCGTCGATTTCCGACACAATTTTAGGTCGGAAAATCATCCAAAGTACGGCGGATCAGGAGCCAGGGATGCCAAAACCCTCCTCCCCTGCCGCGGAACTGGCTCGTGACCCCGCGCCGCGTCTGCTCGTCCCGGTGCCCGGCGAGGGCCCCCCGAGGCCGCAAGGGCAGCCCCGGGCTGTGCGCGTCGCGACCTGCCCGCGGCGACGGGGGGGCCGCCACTCCACTGCGCAGCGCCTCGGCGGGGCCCCTCCCGCGCCCCAGGCCGAGGGCCGGGAGCGCGGCAGCACGGGCGGTGGATGGGCGGCGGGGCGGAGGACGGAGAGGCGGGGGGCTAGGAGCTTTGTGGGCCCCGGAGAGGCGGGGGGTTAGGAGCTTTGTGGGCTCACCGCTTCCCCCAAAAATGTCCCTTGAAAATGGAAACGGCAAAAAAAAACGGCGACCGGAAACGGCAAAAAAACGGCTCCAGGATTGGAGCCGGAGCCGGAACCGGTCAAAAAACGGCGACGGAACCGACGGAACCGGTAAAAAAACGGCGTCGGAACCGGCAACAAAACGGCAAAACGGAACCGGGAAAAAAACGGCCCTGTCGTTTCCAGGGCCCACTAAGGTTGGGAGAGCCACTAAGGTTGGGAGAGCTCCAAACAGTGTATTGGTGGCGTCCCTCCGAGGGGGGTCGGCGACGAGACGGCCAGCTGGACGGGATGCGAGGAGGCGGAGCGCGGGGGGAGAGAACGGACCCACTGCGAGAGGGCCAGACCCAAACCGTGTTTTTTCGTTTTCGTTCTGTTTTCGCTTTCCCCCGTTCTGTCTCCAGTCCGCCCTTCCCGCACAATGAAGTCGAAACGCAAACGGCATACGCAATCGCCAACACACCGCTTAGATCCCCCCCCGCACTGCGAGACAGCTGCTTTCCCTCCCCGTCCTCCGCCGCTGGCGGGGACCCGCGTGGGTGTGCGGTCCTCTTGATCGGGGACGTCCGCCGACGAACCAGCGGTCCGAGGGAGGCCTGCCTCGCGGCGCGTCGGCGGGCCCTCCTGGTCTGCAACATGGCTTTCCGCCTGCACGCCCCCGGCAGCGGCTCCCCGGCGGAGCTCTTTCGCGGGCCCATCGGCACCCGTGGCTGAAGGCCTCCCAGATGGGGTCCGAGCAGACTGGGTCGGAAGATCGCGCCAAATCGCAGATGCATCGCCGGTGCATCGGCAACGCATCGGCGATGCACCGGCGGTGCAGCAGCAACGTCGGCGGTGCAGCGGCGACGCCAGCGCGGAGAAAATCGGGCTCCGCATCGAGCCGCATCGGCGATGCATTGGCGATGCGGCGCGATCCTCCGACCCCATCTACTCGGACCCCACCTGAATGGCCTGGAGTATCCGTATCCTCCGCCGCCGCAAGTACCGCCGCCGGGGAAAGAGAGGCAGCGGGGGAACAGTGCCGCCACGCTGTCCTGCACCCTCCTCCTCCTCGGCCTCCTCCTCCCCGTCGGCCCTCTTGTAGGCCTCCTGAACGGGGCTGCAATTGGAGGGTAAACAGGAGGACGAGGAGGAGGAGGAGGAGGAGGAAGACCTGTGTAAACCCAAGAGTCATCAACGATGTTGAAATTAACCCTCCCTCCAAGCTCCCTCTTCATAGGCCCCTACAACGGTTCATTTCCATTGAGGCAATTCGTTGGAAGACAGTCGTTTGAAGATCCTGAACGATGCCGAAACTTTGTTCTCGGGATTTCAACGCCACGTCTCAACCTAACTGTTGCGTCTTGACGATTCGGAATCGTGCCAGAACGCCATGTTTGGGACTTCGACACAGCAAATCATCATAAATGTTGCACCCGCATAATCCTGAGTCCTTCCAAAACACCACTCCTGGTACGTCGACAATGGGAATCCGTGAAATTCTTGCAACATGTTGAAAACGAATGTGCGCGGCGCTAAGGAGAGATCCACAGTTTGAAGACCACCCGCCCTCAATCCGTGAAGCTCTTGCAACTTTTGAAAACGAATGTGCGCGGCGCTAAAGCGAGAACCACGTTTTGAAGACCACCCGCCCTCAATCCGCGAAGCTCTTGCACATGTTGTTTGATCGGATGTGCGCGGCGCTGAAGCGAGAGCCACATTTTGAAAACCACCCGCCCTCAATCCGTGAAGCTCTGGCAACATGTTGTAAGCGAATGTGCGCGGCGCTGAGGCGAGAGCTACATTTTGAAAACCACCCGCCATCAACCCGTGAAGCTCTTGCAAAGTTTGAAAATGAATGCGTGCGGCGCTGAGGCGAGAGCCACATTTCGAAAAAGACCCGCCCTCAATATGTGAAGCTCTTGCAAATGTTGAAAACGAATGCGCGCGGCGCTGAGGCGAGAGCCAAATTTTGAAAACCACCCGCCCTCCATCTGTGAAGCTGCTGCACTGTTTAAGCTTCAGAATCATAAATGGTAACGAAGTCTCAGGCGAAATGCCCTGCCCGCCCTAAAAACTGGCCTCGGGGTGCGACAGGGGGGATTATCTATAAGGAGAAGGAATGGAGGAGGACCAATGGAAATCCAAGAGTCATCAACGATGTTGGAATACATCCTCCCGCCAAGCTCCCTCGTCACAGGCCCCTATTCATTTTCACTGAGGGAACTGCCTCGTTGGAAGACAACCGTTTGAAGACCCTGAAGCATTCCAAAACAATGTCCTCGGGATTTCAGAGCCACATCTCAACCTGACTGCTGCGTCTTGGCGATTCGGAATCGTGCCAGAACAGCACCCCTGAGACTTCAACACAACGAACCACATGTAACTGTTGCACCCGCATAGTCCCGACCCTTTCTAAAACATATGTTTGGTACGCTGATCATGGGAATCCGTGAAACTCTTGCATTTTTTTACAAAGAGTGAACGCATCGCTAACGCGAGAGCCCCAGTTTGAAAAGGAACCGCCTTCAATCCATGAAGCTCTTGCAATTCTGTTAAACCGAATGTGCGCAGTGCTAAGGCGAGAACCACAATTTGAAAGCAACCCGCCCTCAATCCGTGAAGCTCTTGCAAGGTGGTTAAAACGAATGTGCGCGGCGCTGAAGCGAGAGCCACATTTTGAAAACCACCCGCCCTCAATCCGTGAAGCTCCCGCAAATGTTTACAACGAGTGCGCGCGGCGCTAAAGCGAGAGCCACAATTTGAACACGACCCGCCCTCAATCCGTGAAGCTCCTGCAAATTTTGAAAACGAATGTGCGCGGCGCTAAAGTGAAAGCCACATTTTGGAAAGGAATCGCCCTCAATCCGTGAAGCTCTTGCAATTTGTTTTAGATCGAATGTGCGCGGCGCTACGGCGAGAGCCACATGTTGAAAACCACCCACCCTCAATCCGTGAAGCTCTTGCACATGTTGAAAACGAATGTGCGCGGTGTTTAGGCGAAAACTACATGTTGAAAAAGACCCGCCCTCAGTCGTCAAAACTCTTGCAAATGTTTAAAACGAATGTGCGCGGCGCTATGGCGAGAGCCACATTTTGAAAGCCGCCCGCCCTCAATTCGCGAAACTGTTGTCATGTGTAGAGCTTCAAGGCCAAAAATGATGAGGAAGTCTCAAGCGAAACGTCCGACCCGTCCGAAAAGCTGGCCTCGGGGTGCGACAGGGAGAAATTACTTACAAGGAGAAGGAATGGAGGAGGAGGAGCAGGAGGAGGAGGAAGACGAGGAGGAGAGGCAGGAGGAGGAGGAGGAGCAGGAGGAGGAGGACCAGTGTAAACCCAAGAGCCATAAACGATGTTGGAATAAACCCTTCCTCCAAGAGCCCTCTTCACAGGCCCCTACAACGGTTCATTTCCACTGAAGGAAGTGCCTCGTTGGAAAGCAACCGTTTGAAGACCCTGAAGCATGCCAAAACAATGTTATCGGGATTTCAACGCCACGGATCAACCGGACTCTTGCGTCTTGACAATCCAGAATCGTGAGAGAACGCCATTCCTGGCACTTCAACACCGCGAGCCAACGTAACTGTTGCACCCTCATAATCCCGACACCTTCCAAAACACAATTGCTGGTACGCTGATTATGGGAATCCCTGAAACTCTTGCAATGTTTGAAATGTGCGCGTCGCTAAGGCGAGAACCACATTTTGAAAAGGAGCCGCCCTCAATCCGCGAAGCCCTTGCAAATGTTTAAAACGAATGCGCGCGGCGCTACGGCGAGAGCCACATTTTCGGAAGGAACCGCCCTCAACCCGTGAAGCTCTTGCAAATGTTTAAAACGAATGTGCGTGGCGCTAAAGCGAGAGCCACAATTTGAACACGACCCGCCTCAATCCGTGAAACCCTTGCAAATGTTGAAAACGAATGTGCGCGGCGCTAAGACGGGAGCCAATTTTTGAAAGCGGCCCGCCCTCCATCTGTGAAGCTAATGTAAATGCTTATGCTTCAGAGCCATAAACGCTTAGGAAGTATCAGGCGAATCGCCCAGACCGCCCTAAAAACTGGCCTCGGGGTGCGGCACGGAGAAGGTATATATAAGGAAAAGGAGTGGAGAAGGAAAAAGAGAGCTCGGGAGAGAGCAAAACTCGATCCTGGATCGTCCACCCTCGAAGATCCGATATCGAGGCCCGTGGACGCCGCCAGGCGGAGGAGGAGGAGGAGGAGCAGGAGGAGGAGGAGGAGGAGGAGGAGGAGGAGGAAGAGGAGGAAGAGGAGTTCACCGCACCGCCGTCACAGCGGCGGGCCCCGAGCGCGATCTGGGTCCCCTGCGGGCGCCCTCCTTAGCAAGATCGCACTGCACGGCCCGTCGGCGCCACAGGGATTAAGTAACTCGGGCTCCAGATCGTACCTATCGCCAACGCATCGGTTGTGCAATGGGTCCTGGAAGCCTCTGCGGGCTCCTGCTTTGCGGTCCACGTTACGGCGCCGTCCCAGCTTGTCCCGCCAGGCCCGCCAGCCCAGCCTGAATCTAGGACGGCAAACCCACCAGCCCGACCATGCAGCCGCGCGAACCCAGTGCAACGAAAGTCCAGCTCGGCACGGCCAAACACAGCCCGTCCCAGCTGGAAAAGCTGGCGCCCGCCGACGCATCGGCGTCGCGCTGACGATCTGGGGGCTTCGCTGCCGCGGGGGTCGTGAGGAGAGGGTGGGGACTGCTGCTCATTGGGCTGCTCGTGCGGTGGAATGCCCCTCGGGGAGGAGGAGGAGGAGGAGGAGGAGGAGGAGGAGGAGGAGGAGGAGGAGGAGGAGGAGGAGGGGGAGGGGGAGGAGGAGGGGGAGGAGGAGGAGGAGGAGGAGGAGGAGGAGGAGGAGGGAGGAGGAGGAGGAGGAGGCCATGATCGCCCCACCGCGAGCGCCGCCGCCCCGGCACATGCCTGCGGGCCCACGCTGCCGGGGTCGGCGGGCCGGCGCTCCGAGGGGAAAGCGCCTGCTTGCGCGACCGTGCCTCCCGACCCCTGGCCGCCCAGGAGGGAAAGGAAGATGGCCTGGGAGCGCGAGGGGGTCGCGTACGGGGCTCCTGCGGATGCCACCAGGGGGCTCAATGGCTCGGGTGCGTCGTGCCAGGGTGTCCCCGAGAAGGAGGGGAGGAAAAGGATAACGAAAGCTGATGACAAGGGGATTCGGGAGCGGCCAAGAGGGGGGTGTCCAAGAGGGGGGGGTGCAAATCATGACCGGCGGCACGTGCGCGGCCCAGTGGGGGGGCCAGGGACGTAATGAAATAAGAAGGGGCGCCATGAAATCTGGGGAAATATCATGGCCCCCGCCATGATATCCACCCCCCCCTAGTCATCACCCCCCTCTTCTCCGCTCCCGAGGGATGACCACGGGAGGCGCAGAGGAACGGAGGAAGGAGGAGGACAATAGAGGAGGGGCGAGGAGCACGAGGAGCAGGAGGAGGACGAGCGAGCGCAGGAGGCGTGCCCGCGGCCCTGGCGGCCGCGGCCCTCCTCGGGCGGCCAGGGCGCCCTCTGGGCCCTGCCGCGGCTGTCCTCGCCCCCTGGCTCGCGGGTGACTCCTCGGCCCTCGCGGTGGCTGGGGCCGCGGCCGTGGCGCGCGGGGGTCTCACGCAGGCGCCCCTTCGCCGCGCTCCCTGCCGCAGTGCAGCGCCGGCGCGCCCCACGTCGGCGAGCCGCTCGCCCGGCAGCGGCGCCGCCGCTCCTGGGCGGCCCGCGGTGGCCGTCGCGGCCGTCGCGAGCGGGCCCAACGCCCTTGCCCGCATGCTCGGCGTCGCAGCGCCCGCGGCCCGCCCCCGCGCGCTTCTCGCCCGCCCAGGGGGGTCCGCCCCCGCCACTCTGGCTCGCCGCCTGCCATTCCGGGGGAGAAGGAGGAGGAGGAGGAGGAGGAGGAGGAGGAGGAGGAGGAGGAGGAGGACAAGGAGGACAAGAGGAGGAGGAGGAGGAGAGGAGGAGGAGGAGGGAGGAGGAGGGGAGGAGGAGGAAAGGAGGAGAAGGAGAAGGGGAGGGGAGGAGGAGAAGGAGGAGGAGGAGGAGGAGAAGGAGTTAGAGGAGGAGGACAAGGAAAAGGAGGAAGGGCAAGAGGAGGAGGAGAAGGAG